GCGGCTGGGGGGCGGGTCCCGGGCTCAGGTGGCGCCGACGCCTGTAGCTTTCTGCCCGCGTAAACACAGCCCCAGTGTAAAGAAACTCCTCTCCCTGTGGGCCCGAAGCCGTAGCGTCGCTTTCAGGCGGGAAAGGTATGAACAGAGTAGTGCTCGCTTAGGATCCTGCGGGGTGTAAAACAGTTTGGGAAATCTGAGAAGTCGCTCAAGTATTTTTCTCTAGTAAATGCTCGTGGATTGAGTATCGCGTAGATAATCGGAATGTAATTTTGTTGTAAAAATGATCATGTTAGAAATAAGTGGAAGGTGGCAACCTGTTGACAGTGATACCTGTCAAGTATCATCCGATGGACTTGGGTTGCTCAGGGTAGGAATTTGATCTGCAGTTTTGCATGCTTGCATGTACCTTGTTACTGCATGCATGGCAGTCCAGTCTAGTGCTGGTGAATGCGAGGCTAACCACTGGGCCAGAACTCTCTTGTTTTTTGGCGGTGGAATGGACTCTTAGTCACTGGGCAATGGGGCAACCCTTTTGCAGGCCTTGCTCACCAAACGGAATGAAATGGCCAGTCGGTGGTGGTGTCTGTGAGTACAGGATGTGAGGCCCCTTGGAGGATGACAAAAGGAATGGATGAGGTCATACTGCTGCTGGGTTGGTTGGGAAGATGCAGCAGGAAAGGCTTGACCTAAAGGCAGCAGCCATAGCACTGGACTATCACAGCCCGTTCCTCCATGCCAGCCCAGCAGGTGGACTCCAACGAAGGGCACTGTTCAAGCATGTGGGTTTTATCTCTGTGTCAGAGATCTAGGGGAGCCTGCTATGAGTCTGCTGCTGGCTTACCATCTACTTGGCAAGCAAGGTTTGCCTCCCTGTGTTCAGTCAGCTGAAACAGTAGTGAGGCCAATGAGCCTTTTATGACCAGGCACTGTGTGGGGGCAGTTCTCAAGGGTTGTATTATAATCTGTGACCTTGGGGATAGGAAATATCTGACTGATTTGCCTGGTTATGGTCTCTCTTGTAGCAGTTGTGGTCTCTTGTAGCAGCCTACTCCTGTTTAGCAGTCTCATCTAGCCTCCTCCCCTGGCTTTGTGCGCTCTCTTTGACATCTCCCATCTCCATCCCTGGCCTCCCATCTGAGCTGCAGCCTCACCTTTCTAGCTGTCTTCCACATTTCCATGTGTTCCTTTGATGCCAAATAGCCATGACCAAATCTAAACCCCAGTCTTTGCGCACCCCAAAATATTCATGTTGCCTTCACTACCTCAATGTATGCAGCTGTCCTTGAGTTTGGAGCCACCTGTATTCCTCTCTTAGTTCTCCATGCAACTCCCAGAACCATTTTCACCATCTTAATATGCTGGCCCCAGCCTTCTGGTGAGCCACTCAATTCTTTGCTCTCCCTGTTTCCCTTCTCCCTAGCCCCCATCTATAGTTTTCTGAATACAGAGTGGCTTTTTAAATTGCAAGTGTAAAATTGAAGCAGTACAGACAGGAACCAGCTTGCCTGGGTGGTAAAGCAGCTCTACCACTTTCTAGGTGTGGGACCTTGTGCAAGTTGCTTAACCTTTCTCTCACAGTGCTGTGCGAGATCTGTTGCGTGAAAATGTATAAAGTGCTTAGAACAGGGTCCAGCAGCCCATCTTTCTCAAGATAAGAGCCAGAATCCAAGTCTTGCTTGCCCTTACAGACTTTCTCCTCTCATTCCCCCTGGGCATGCTGTTCTCACCTGCCATACCACACTCCTACCCTAGGGCCTTTGCTCTTCCCTGCGTCACCTGGAATGTCCCCTTACACCTTCACTACCCACCTGGCTCACTCTTCCTTTCCTTCAGATGAATGCTGGCTATGAGGCCTTTGCTGTTCACCCTTTCTGAAGTTACCTTCCCTTCCCCAACTCTTTACTTCATTTTCTTTTGAGCACTTTTTAGTTTTTCTTAGTTGTTAATTTGGCCATCTCTCCTGCTAAAATGTGACCTCTGTGAGGCAGAGATTTTGTCTGTCTTGTGTCCTCAGCATCTAGGATGGTGTGTATGCATCACATGGAAGGTGTTCATCAAACACTTGTTGAATGAGTAGAGAAAGCTTGCAGAGGGAAAGCAAGGAATTTGCCCAGGACTGCCCCACTGTTGGTCTCTGTGCCTTGAGCTGCTGCCCTTTGGGGCTAGGTAGGTTTTCCAAGGAGTGCACGCTCTCTCTCTCTACAGCTCTCTGATCCCACCCTGTACATCTCTTCAAGACTTGCCTTTATCAGTATTGTCATTTTCATCTTTGCCTTGTGTTTGTACATGGCTGCTTCTTAGTCTTTTAAAATGGTAGCAGATGTTCCCTGTCCTGTATTGCCGTTTGTCTTCAAACCATCCATCTTCTCATGTCTTCATTTTAGCTTTCTTCAGTTCCCAGAATCACTAATTGGCTCTCACTGGAGTCTGTGCAGACCTACCAGGTACTGAGGGGTTTGATCCTGGTCTGATCTATAGCAGTGTGCATGCTGACTTACTTGTCCTCTTAAATGATCTTTTTTTGGTTGTCAGGAGACTGGCCTTACTCCACTGGGTGTTCCCAGTGCCTGCCTGGCTGCAGCCTCCTTAGCATTTACTGCAGTTCATATAGTCTGTCATCTGTGTTGCATTTCCTTCATCCTTAGCACCTTTCCTTGACACATTTCTGGGGGAGGTATTGTGTTAAGTTCCCATTGAAATCAGAACAGTAAGGAAATCTTAAAATCCAAGAAGTGTAGTGACAGCTCAGTGGTCATTACCCTTCCAACTGTCGCCAGGTGGCAGAGACTTTGTCTCTTGTTCATGAGAGTGCCTTTCCTTGGAGTAGACGAGATGTGTTGAATGAATTGATTAAATCTAAACAAGTTTCTGGTTTTTATGTTGTGTCGCCTTCAAAATACAACCTCCATGCTCTATTCCTTTGCTGTAAACTTCTTAAATACATAATGTTTGCTGACTCCGGTCCATGCAACCAGTCAGGCCTCCCCGTGTGCATATATGGGCATGCATGGGCGTATCTGCACCTGTATGCATGGCATATTCATCTGTGTATGTGTGCCTACATGTGCTTCTCCTGCTCTAATGCTCAGCCCTCCTGCAGACCTCTGGGTTTTTGGATTGCCCCTCTGAGCTGCCTTCTCAGCCTCATGCCAGCCCTCTTGTTGTGCTTCCTCTGGAGTGAAGCTTCTCAGAGTTGCATCCTCAAACCTTTTTGGTCTGTGTTCCGAACCTCTGCGCAGCCTCCCTTCTGTGGTTTTGGCAGCTATCACCTTGCTAATGAGTTCTGGCCCTTTGTCTCTGGACCAGTCACAGCTCTAGAGCTGTGGCCTCAGCACCTGTCAGATAGGTCTACCTGGAGGCTCCATCTATTCTCTACGGGCTCCTGCCTGAGTGCTGGAACAGGTGTGTCTCTCCAGGGAAAGCCTCATTCGCCTTCAGTTTCCTCTTGTCTGTGCTTTCCACCTCTCCTTGGTCAGCAGAGCAGTCAGTTCTGTCTTCACTGTTCTTGAGAGCTCCCGCCCTCTCACTAGGGCTTCTTTTACACCTTGACCCTCTGGCCTAGAGGACTCTTCCTGTGCCTTGGGCACAAGGACTGTGCCTGGCACAGCAGTTAGTCTCCTTTCTCAATTTGGGACTGAACTGTGGCATTAGAGTCACCTCACCTCAGTGACTCTTCATTGCTCCCAGGATGGAGCCAGGCTCCAGATGGCACTCAGGACTCCCTGTGCCTTGGCTCCAGCTGTCTCCTGCAGCTCCCCTACCAACCCCAGCCTGGCTCCCTTCCCCACAGCCACCATCCCCTCTTCTACTGGGAACAGAACCATGCCACCTCTGGCGACTTCAGCACGCTGCATCACTGTCCTGGTCCACGTGCCACCTTGTGGGCCCAGGAGAGCCCTGGGGTTCCAGGGTAGCACAGCGCCCGGCCGTACCTCTGAGGCCCTAGTGCTGCAGAGTTGAGCTGAGGGTCTCGCACTCACCCTCTGACTGACCCAGCCCTGGCAGGTGAGTGGATTGATGTCGCTCTGATGGCCGGAGGGAGGCCACACACCTAATGTGTGTTCCGGAAAGGGCAGGCTTGCACTGCGTGCTTGCTTACCTAATAAACTGAGTTAGGGGAATGCTGTGGTGAAGTTTAGTGTAGGGTTTTATTTATTTATTTTTTAAAAATCCTTTTGAGCTTTAAGATAATATTGTTTTTATGCTTCTGAAGTAGGAACTACAGTGGACAATTAATAAAATATTTAACTTTGGACTTAAATTATAATTTAGGTTCTGAAAAAAGTTTGTTTTAAAGCCTAAAAGATTCTCTTAGGCAGTATCATTTTCTTTACTACACTGTTAATAGCACTTGACTCTTGGTACCGGGGAAGTGGAAGGTTTCTGTCATTTTGTGACAATGTTTTTAAATCTCTTTGCAGGTGGAAGAAGCAAGGTGCCACTTTGGCATGAAGACAGACTCGCTTAGTCGTCAGTCATTTAAGCTGAGTGCATTGTGATTTCCAATAATTGAGGCAGTGGTTCTAAAAGCTGTCTACATTAATGAAAAGAGCAATGTGGCCAGCTTGACTAAGCCGCCAGCGTGTGCAGCGCGGGCAGGACGGCATCCGGGTCTCGACGGACTTGTGCATGTTAGCTGTATAGATTTATATAAGGTTTTTTAAAACTGGTCTTTTAAATAGTCTTAATCACTTTTACTATGGAGACATATGAGAGTCCCTCTCCTCTCCCGCGTGAGCCCGCAGGAGAAGCAGTGATGGAGAAACGTGCTTGCTCCTTCCAAGCGCTGCCCCATGAACAGTCTCCACCACCTCCCCTGCAAACGTCCAGTGATGCAGAGGTAATGGACGTTGGCTCTGGTGGTGATGGACAGGCCGAACCCCCTGCTGAGGACCCATTCAACTTCTACGGAGCTTCTCTTCTCTCCAAAGGATCCTTCTCTAAGGCCCGCCTCCTCATAGACCCGAACTGTAGTGGCCACAGCCCGCGCACCGCCCGGCACGCACCTGCGGTCCGGAAGTTCTCCCCTGACCTTAAGTTGCTTAAGGATGTAAAGATTAGCGTGAGCTTTACCGAGAGCTGCAGGAGTAAGGACAGGAAGGTGCTGTACACAGGAGTGGAGCGCGACACTCGTGTGGAGTGTGGTCTGGCCCTTAGCCCTGTCAGTGGAGACGTGCATGCTTGTCCCTTTGGCGGGAGTGTTGGTAATGGGTTAGGTATAGGGGGTGAGAGTGCTGATAAGAAGGATGAGGAGAATGAGCTGGATCAGGAAAAGAGAGTGGAGTATGCAGTGCTCGATGAGTTAGAAGATTTTACTGACAATTTGGAGCTAGATGAAGAAGGAGCAGGCGGGTTCACGGCTAAAGCAATCGTGCAAAGAGACAGAGTGGATGAAGAGGCCCTGAATTTCTCCTATGAGGTATGTCAGTGATCCCTCATTTGGAGTGCTCTTAGCAAAACCCAAAGAGAGGTGTTTGGGAATTGCAGCATCTTTTGAAAGCTGATGTTACAGAGGAAAAAAAAACTACATGAGGTGGAATAATGTTAATGTGGAAAAGGGACAGCTGTAAAGAGTCCAGACTTAGATTTTCTTAGTGGCTGACAGGTGGGCCTTGTATCTTTTACCCAACCTGAGCTGGAAAATGCTGCTGAGAAGCACTCCCTGATTGTGTGTGTGCCTGGGCCAAGCCTATTGGCTTCAGTTGTTGGTTTCATTACATTTGCTTTTCAGATGATAACGCACTATAAAGGCACATCTAGGCACCTTTGAGAGTGCCTCATTTCTGTGTCCATTCTCACTAGTGCCATTAAGGGTGCCCATGGTGCAGAAATGCAGGCGCCGTGGCCATGGTAT